CCCTCCACCCTGTTCACCCACTACTGTGTCCATTCCCACAAAGACAACATCATCCTAAAGTTCGCGGATGACACTGCAGTGATAGGTTGCATCACTTGCAGGGATGAAGCAGCCTACAAGAGGGAAGTGGGCCGGTCTGGTGTCATGGTGAAAGGACAATAATCTCACCCTCAACACGGACAAGACGAAGGAGATGATAGTGGACATGAGGAAAGAGAGGAGAACTCATCAGCCACTGTTCATCTGGGGGTTCGAAGTGGAGATTCCACTCAGCTTCAAATACCTGGGCATCCACATCATTGAGGACCTCACTTGGACACTCAACACCACACCGCTGGTCAAGCAGGCCCAACAGTGGCTGTACTTCCTGAGGAGGTTGAGGAGGTTTAGCATGTCACCTAGGATCCTCAGCAACTTCTACAGCTGCATTGTTGAGAGCATCCTGACCAGCTGCATCACTGTCTGGTATGGCAGCACTACTGCTATGGACCGCAAGCGCCTGCAGAGAGTGGTGAAGACTGCAGAGAAGATCACCAGGACTCCGCTGCCTTCTCTGCAGAGCATTTACCACAGCAGGATGCATAAGAAAGCTGCCTCCATCCTCAAGGACCCCACCCACTCCCAGTACAAACTGTTCATATCCCTACACTCTGGCTGGGGGTACAGGAGTTGAAATGCAGGACCTCTAAACAGAAAAACTCTTTCTTTCCCTCTGCCATCAGACTCCTAAGGAGGTGACAGGAGTTTATTACCAGGAAATACGTCATGTACCGACAACCTGTACTGTTTACATTCTCAGTTTGCAAATGCATAATTGCACATTGACTGTTGACTGCTGCACATGCTGCTCCTATGCAGCATACATTCTCTTATTATATTCTTATATATTTTTATTATATCTCTGCATTTGCTGCTTAAAGTGCCTTAGATTTTGTGTTACATATTCATCTACTTTATATTTCATTTGTATTGTGTGGCATTCATGTGGATGGCAAAGTAAGAATCTCATTGTACAGGGAAACACATCCTAAATGTGCATATGGCAAATAAACAGTTTGACCTTGACCTTATGAAGCTCAAAATGTGTCCGTTTTTGGTGAAACTGTCATACATGTATAAATCCAATTATATGTTTATTGTTAAGGTCATAGTTAAAGGTGGTGTTGTACAAAAAAACCCCCCTGCTCGGCTGGACAGAGACCAGTGAACGTGGGATTGTGCTGACACTTAATAATGAGAATGAACAGTAACAGACCGTATTCCTACTGTGGTGTGTCAGTGTGTTGTCTGTGAAATACATCTCTTCCTGTTCCATCCAAACCTGCTGGCACAATCAATACTCCACCTGTTCCCCCAGTTAGATTTGAACAGTTTGTGATTGTGTCATTTCCACCACACACTCCTCTCCTATCTTTTTAACAAGTGGTGCATATGTATTCAGCCCCCTTGAGTCAATACTTTGTCGAAGCACCTTTCGCTGCAATTACAGCTGCAAGTCTTTTGGGGTATGTCTCTACCAGCTTTGCACATATAGAGACTGCAATTTTTGCCCATTCTTCTTTGCAAAGTAGCTCCAGTTCAGTCAGATTGGATGGAGAGCATCTGTGACCAGCAATTTTGAGACTCAAAACAAAACACTACAATCTCCTCCTCTTTGCTCTTGTGCTCTTTGCTCCTCCCATCTTGCTTCCTAAAGCTACGATGTGAACTATGGATGCCTGGTTGTGACAAAATGCTTTATAAAAAAATCTTATTTTATGACCAATCAATAGCTAAAAACCAGTTAATTACAAAAGGTTTGCATACTTTTTTGCTAATTTGTGTATTTTTTACCCCTCATCTAAAGTCAGTCTGCCTTCACTATCCTCTCCTTGTAAAGCATATGTTGTCAAGATTTATAAAATCTATACCACTAAGCTGATGATCCAGTATGCTGCAGATTCAGACCTTTGCGGTCGACCTTGAAGTCAATTATGATTGGCTCCACGGTACCCTCGCGATTCCTCCCTAGGCCCTCTCCTGTCTTCCAGCCCATCTTTCTCATCAGGAGCTCCCCAACACCCCCTGATACTGGAGCTGCTTTGAGGAACTGGTCCTAATAGAGAGAGAAAAAGAAACAGAGATCAACAGAATGAGGGGATAAAAGGAGGAAAGTAAAACCCAGACAAAGCCTTGCTCACCACGCCCACAAGTGCACGACATTTTTTGGAAAAAATTTAGTGGTATAGACTTTTAATAAGTAAAAAACAATACGTCAATAAATGAAGACCACTCATTACCACAAACAAACATAAAAGAAAAGAAAAGAAAAGCAACATACTGTATTTCCACATTTTGTAACCCCTTAGAGCCAGTCCTTCTAAAAGTCCAGACTCCATTGGCAAGTCAATCCAGACCCAGCCCACACCTCGTATTAGGAACACAATAATACAATTGCAATTACAAGTGTGTGTTTCCTACTTTGAAAAAAAAAAGTTTTATACTTATCAATAAATTGTTAGTTTTGTAGAATATAATCTATTTGGTGATCATTACAGCGATCCTGGCACAAGAAAAAGGCTAAACGTAATCATAATCATTTCCACATCACTGTCATGGCAACACTAACAGCTGGCAAGTGTATAACATTTAACATCAACAAGTGGCAAAGCTCAAGGGTCGCCTAACAGACGTTCATGGCGTCTTCTGCACATTACGTCACCAATGTGGTGAGGATGTCACTATCCAAATGTACAAAGAAAAGAAAAGTTGACCAGCGGTGTCTCTATATTGTTGTCCTCCCTGGTTACATACAAGCGAGGGTCAGAATATTAGGAACACTTCTAAATATAATGTGTCAGAATCGGCATGTATGAATGCCAAATGGTGTTTGTGGTGGACTCGATTATAAAACCAGACGAACTGATATAGCTGAAGATTTTTTACTTGTAGCAACTACACAAACAATATACAGTCCGGGATACACAATCAGGTCAATAAGACAGTCCAGGGTCAGCGCCAGTAGACAGGTATAGCCAGGAGATCCAAACTCGAGAAGTCAAGGGGAATAGCTCAGAAGGTCGGTACACTGCAGGCAATCAAAAACTGGAGGGGCATAGGCAAAACATGGTGGTCAAAAACAGTAATCCAAGGTCAGAAACAGAGAATCAGGCAAGGTATAAATGCGGGAGAGTCAGAGCTGGGGTCTAGAACAATCTGGCAGCGTCCTTGTGGGAGGATGCTGCCTAAATAGAGGTGAACACAGGTGCAGGATAATAAGGAGCAGGTGAAACTAATCTGAGTAAGGAAGAAAGTAAAAAGACCTAAGCTATGGTGAAACAAAACAGGAAGTAGAATCAAAATAAAAGCCTGACAGGAAACAGCGGAACCGAATCATGACAATAATGTAATCCAGTACAACACTTCCTTTAACTATGACATCAATAATAAACATACAATTACATTTATAGATTTATGACAATTTCACTAAAAACTGAAACATTTGAGCTTCATAAACACAGATGTTAAGGCGGAGGTGTTGCATTGACTTGGCTACAACCATACAGGTGTACCTAATAAAGTGGTCCATGAGTGTACGTTGCTTGTAAGTTATATGCAAATTTAATAAAAGTCATTTGCTTATCACTAATTGTTCTGGACCTTTGACCTTGAATAGAAATCTTTGAATCTTGAATCTTTGACCTTTGAATATTAAGTTTCAGAACCCCTGCCTTAGGAAAAACTAGTGACTCACAGTAGGATAGCTGACAGTAATTCTAATGTGTTGTTGCTACATTTTAGCATTTTGTCATCATTTATGAAATTTGTGAGTCTTGGTGCTAACATATGTCAAAAGGAACAGGTCTGTGTCGGCGTGTTTACAGCACACAGTCAAGCATAAAAGTTTGTGCTCATTTTTTGTAGCAGCTACTCCAACTGCTGTGGATTTACATGCCTGTTTGTATATGTCGTGTGTGCATCTTACCTTCTTCAGCCATGCTTGCGGTCCGCTGGTGGACAGCTCCTCTGAGCTGAGGACCTGGGCCCCAGTTGAACCAGTAAAGAGGCCAGGAACAGTGTTGGACTGGGCCCACGCATCCACCTATTTAAACAGGACATTTGCAACATATTTTACTTAAAATTGTCTTCTTAATTTCCTCCAGGCCATTCTGCAATTCCCTGGCTGAGAACCAGCTGACCAGGAGCTCTGCTCTAACTACTATTTAAGTCAGGGGCAGTACCTGCTTTGTGAACTAAGAACCGATACATAATGAGCTAGTAGTGTAATGTTGCTTTCGTCAACGAAAATTATGACTAAATATTATCATCAACAAACCTTTATCACGTGATGAAAACGAGATGAGACGCAACAAAAATGCTGGTTGTGTGACGATGACTATAATAAAACGTGTAATGCAATATTGATGAAAAAACCAGAATAAATGTGCTTTACAAAATATAAACTATGCTAAAATGTCTCTTCATTTTCATTGACCAAAACGAGACAAAACGAACTGTTATAATGTTATTTTGTCTCGTTTAGTTATTATTATTATTTTGCAGTATTTCTGTTTCCTATGTCTCCCTTGAGGGGTCGCATCAGGTCGCACTGCGCAGACGCAGCCGACGTCACTTCCTTAAGCCCCACTCGCAGCATTATTTAGAAGACGACAACAAACAAAGTTAAGTCTGATGCAGAGAAAGGGACCAATGGCCGGCCAGCTGGGGTTCCTCTTTGAGAGAAAAAGAAGAAACAACATTTGGAAAAACTTTCATTACATAGAAGTGGAAAAGAAAACAGAGTCTCTTGTGGAAAAAGATGGGGAGAAATGTGGCCACAAAATCACACAAAATGTTTATTGGATGTATTCTTGAGTCTATAAGGTAACAATAATATAATAAGATAACCTTGTTTGAAATGGGTTTGGCTCAAAGAAAATTTTGGGTTTCATCTATACTACTAGGTACTTATACTATATTGACTGGGTTAAATAGAATTGCATTACTAAAAAGAGACTAAAATACAATTTTCATTGACTAAAACTAGACTAAAATGTAATCAGTTTTCATCAACTAAAACTAGATGAAAATAGTCATGGATCATTCTGATTAAAATAAGACTAAAATGCTCAGACTTTTAGTTGACTGAAACTTGACTAGACTAAAAAGAGTATGAATGTGACTAAAACTAATAAAAACTAAAATGACAGCTTCACACAAAGACTAGACTAAAACTAAAATTAAAACAGGCCACCAAAAACAGCTATATAGTAGTGTAATATAACATACACCAAATGATGTGCTACCACGTGGGCTGAGAGCAACTGTCTCTTATCTATAGCGTAGAGTTGACAACCATGATTTAACAATGAAAAAGATGTAGACATAATGCAGTAACTGCCAGTGGCACAATGTCTCAAGGCATATAAGGTCTGAGCATGTAGGCATAACGAAATAGCAATTATTACTGTGACAAACACGGACACTGATCAATATGTAACCAAGCTCCTCAGCTCGGTCCAGTGGTCCTACTATATTCATCCACCAGCAGTTCTGGACATTAACAGGAAGATCAAATCAGGGCGGCGCTGCGATCACTGCATCATTGCGGGGGATACAAAGTAAGAGCAGGTCCCTGTAAACAGTTAGGCTGGAATCTCTAACCAGAAAGCTTTCAGTCTGATTGAATAGCTATTGTTCATGTAACTGCAGCTAATGTCACTATAATATTAAAAAATCCTGATGTTTGTCTTTCAAGATATTGAAAATGCTGACATAACTTGGTATCTCATTGTGACAAAATTACATTTACTCAGTCAGGCCTGAACTGAGGAGATAAACTCTGAAGAAACTACCAAAAGCAAGAGTAGGTTTCCTGGAAATGTTTAATTCTCTCCTTTTAGACAGCTACAAATTTTGTTTTAGTTTTTTTTTGTTTCTTTTAGCTGAAATGTTCAGTCTGCAGTTTAAGCCAGTGGTTAATAAAAGAAATGGATTCTGTCTTTCCAGGCAAGTAATGTACAAAACAAAGTCTTTTTTGATTGCAAGATATAAAATAAAGAATGTAAACTGGTATGAAGTGTGGAGAGGCAGAAAAGGGTGCTAGGAAACAAAAACAGTCCTTGTTTGAGCTTGGGCAACATGAATTTGAAACTCATGAGATTATTATTGTTGTGCCACATCTGTATAAGATACAGTATGAGTGTTATACCTGCTCTTGTGCTCGACTGAGCATGCAGATGGCACTGATGTCATAGGGGTTCTCAGCCAATCGCCTTTGAGCTCTGATTCTCTCAGTCACAGCCTGAGAGATATCTACTGGCTGCAGACAGACAGAACAGAGGTGACAGAAAAACAGTTTTGATGGGAGAGAAAATGTAGAAGGTAAAGACAGTTCATCTGATGTCAGACTTGACTTTTACAAACCGTGGTGCAAAATCTCAGAGTATGTGTCTGCACACTCTCAGATTTATGACAAACTTGAGTAAACAACCTTTTAAAAGCTGTTAGCAGGAAGCTTACAAAATTCAGATGCACCACTATAAAACTGGAGAGACAACTATTTTTATTCTTCATAAAAATAAAAAAAAAACACTCCAATTCTGATGCCTGCAGCACATTCCAAAAAAGCTTTCAAGAAATTAATCATAACAAAACCAATGAATATGAATACAGTGACAAGGAAAGATATTTAAAAACTCTTTGGAATTACTTGTTTTCTTGCATTAATTGGCCATAAAATATGATGATCTTCATCTATGTCACATGTATAAACAACCTATGTGCTTAAGTCAACAAACAATCCTAGGGGGTTCACATATTTTTTCATATTTAACAGACATAATAAATGCAGGTATTTCCAAAGAGGTCACTAAATTTATCTTGCTACTGTATACATAATACTCAGACTTAGGCTCACCTGCAGTACTGGGTCAGGAAAAACACTGTCATTATCTGACTGTTCAACAGCCTCTGCCTCTGTTTCACCTGATGATGAAGTAGTTGTTGCTGTGGGAACAGTGGTTAGCACCTTTCTGGGGGCAGCTGCAGGTTTGTCTGCTGTTTTGTCAACTGGAACCCATTCTCCATAGGCACCCAGTGCCTCACCTTCCTAGAGAGATTGAATGTGAGCACAGAGAAACTTTCAAAACAAATTCTACCTACAGGCGACATCATGGGTTATCAGTTCCTGTAACTAAGTTTATTTATAATGCACCTTTCAGGAGCCAATAATAAAGAGTCACATAAAAGCAACAGACATAAAAAGATATGCTAAAACCATGAAAATGTATCTAATCTAAACAAGTGAGTCTTCAGCTGCTTTTTAAAGGCATCCACAGGGTCCACAGATCTTAAAGCCAAAAAAGTGGGAGGTCCAGAGTTGAGGAGCTGCAATCTCAACAAGCTTGCTACAGTCTTATCTAGATCCTGGAGTAAGGAACAACCAACAATCCCTGACCAGAGGACCCAAGATTTCCACTGACTATGTAGGGCTGCAGTAGCACTTTAAATGTAGACAAGTATCTGACTATATAAAAATTACATCAGTCAATATGGGACCTGGATTAGCTTATCTATCTGATCCACAGGATCTCTGCTGTCATTCAAAACCAATTAGAAACATCAGGGAAGCACCACTGGGTGACACGTTTCTTCATTCATTACAAAACACCAGACCTGTATATTTATTAAAATTGTTATCCTTAAAGCTTGAAATGACCGTATAAAGGCCTCAGCCCTGGTCTTCATGTGAGGGCCTAAGTTACCACCAGCAGTGGAATTAGTTAGAAAACAGTCTTTTGTTCATGTGTGTAAATTTAAATTTTAGGTAGATTTTAGGCATTTGACTTGACATTAGGTTTAGACATACACAATTAATCAATGAAGCATGCACATTTGGTTAATTTTATATTGCTACTGTGTGCAAATTTTCTTTTTGAGCTACTGTGTTCCCAGTCCACGGATGGGGGTGGTCTGGACAATAAAATATTGGACTGAGGCAGCAGCAGGTTTAAATACCTCCCACCAGGCCTGGACTGCACTAGGTACCCAATACAGGAAAGGGGGAAGTTTGGGAGAAATATATTATTTGTTTGTAGTTTATGTTAGAACTTTATTTATTATTTATTGATTTATTTTTACATCTATAGAAAAATAGTTGTTAGTGGAATGTCTGTTCAGTGTATTTTGGTGATTATTTAGTTAGCGTTTTTGTCCATTCCCTGTGTGTCTTACTGGTTTGGCCAGCCAGTATATATGTTCCCCATTTGTGCCATTTGTTAGGTCAGTTGTTTTATTTTTGAGGTACTGTGCAGTACTTTGCTGTATTTGGAGTTTCCTTATCTTTTATTGACTTCTTTTAGGGCCCAGTTTGGTTGATATTGTGTTGTTTGTATTTTTCCTTATTTCTGGGTATATTTTGAAATTTAAATGCCGTATCCTCTAATGTTTTACAACATCTGACGTAAGCCATGCAATTACCCCTTTCTTCATCACACCTTTCTGCAGTTCTGATAGCTGGCTAACTTCCACTAGTTCCCTGTTCTCCTCTCTTGTCCATGAATGTCTTGTTCCAGTAGCCCACTTCTCATCAGGTTGCCCTGGTTCCTCAACACATGGCATGGACCTTGTGACTCTTATTTTCCCAACTCTCATTACGGATTAGGTAGGCAGATAGCATTAAGGGCCTTGCCTAAGGTTCGAACCCCCTTCCGTACCAAAGTCAGTGGTGGTCTGCTATATGGCATATGGCAGTGTCCTGCGTCTTTGAAAAGCAGGCTTGAATAGGTTTTATCTTATATATATATATATATACACACACAGATCAAGCATAACATTATGACCACCTGCCTAATACTGTTTACACAGGAGTCAATGTAGCTGTCGGTCAGCACTCGTGTCACTCTGCAGCTCACTGTGCATCTTCTGTGAATCCATTTGCTTCCACAGTTATACTGCCAGGAAGAGCACAGATGTGTCTACAATTCAGTCAAAAACATAAGTAGAAGGAGTGAAATCTGTGGTCGTGAGGACAAGTTAGAAAGAATTGTTTAGACCAGGGCTACCCAATATGTCGATCACGATCAACTGGTCGATCGCAAAGGTAGTGTCGGTAGATCTCATGTCAATATAATGAGCTTAGTTCATGCTTTCAAACAAAAAATGCAACATTTTGGGGAACTTCCAAAACATTGCATCAGAGCTGGAGACGCAACGGAAAGCATGTGCACAACTTGACATTGCGCGCTACACAAAGCAGATTGACAACTGTCGGTCAGAGTTTGACAAATGCTTTCAAGACTTTGCCTCACTCGAACCAGTCTCTACATTTATGTGCTACCCATTTAGGGAGGATATTGAGGTTGATTCACTCAAATCTAGCCACAGGGGTTGCAAGCCAGTGACTTCTGTGCCAGTCCCAAGCCCGGATAAATAGAGAGAGTTGCGTCAGGAAGGGCATCCGGCGTAAAAACATGCCAAATTTAAACATGCGAACCATCAGTGCGAATTCCATACCGGATCAGTCAAAGCCCGGGTTAACTACCGCCACCACTGCTGTTGACCTACAGGGTGCTGGTGGAAATTGGACTACTGTTGGTTGAAGAAGGAGAGAAGGTAGAAGGATTTGTAGACAGAGAGAGAAGAGGAAAGGCAGGAGTTTAGGTCTGAGAATAGGGACTCTTAACGTTGGCACAATGACAGGGAAAGGTAGAGAGCTGGCGGACATGATGGAGAGAAGGAAGGTAGTGTACACACTGCACACTGTGTGTGCAGGAGACCAGGTGGAAGGGTAGCAAAGCGCATAGCATTGGAGGCGGATACAAACTGTTTTATTATGGTGTGGAGAGGAAGAGAAATGGGGTAGGAGTGATCCTGAAGGAGAAGCTGTACACTGGCTGTGCAGTGTAGGAGATGCTCTGACCCAGTCATCTCATCATCACAGTTTGGCCCTTGTCAAAGTCACTCAGATCCTTATTACACTTGCTCATCTTTCCTGCTTCCAACACATCAACTTTGAGGACTGAATGTTCATTTGCTGCCTAATATACCCCACACACTGACAGGTGCCACTGTAACAGACAGTCAGTGTTATTCACTTCACCTGCTAGTGGTCATAATGTTATGCCTGATCGGTGTGTGTGTATGTGTGTGTGTATATACACATATATATTAGTGCTGGGCAATGACCAAAATCCTTAATCACGTTAACTGCATGATTTTTCTGAGATTAACCGCAATTAACTGCATTGATCACGCAGCATTCAATAATGAATTCAAAAGTTGTGTATTGCGCACCTGTATTTTAAAAGTAGTACTATATGAACAAAAGTGCAATAACATTTGGTTTGCAAAACACTTTAAACAAATAAGGTGCTTTTTAACAGAAGCATTCCCTTTACACAGTAGCAGCAAATCTCTATTACTCTACTACTATGTAATCAAGCTCATATAAAGGCATATCAATCAAGGCTCATACGTGCCATCATTCGTTGCAATCCTAATAACGTTCCTCAGACTGACATCTTCCACAATACTAATCTGCCTGAAGTTTGTAGCTATCCACTTAGCTACAGCATTTGTTAGCTTGGCTTGCTTTTGTTTATCTATACTTCTCCCACACACTACATCCAACATAGTCTGTTGAAGCCTCCCTCCGCTGTTTGTTTGGGTGGGTGATTTGCTGGCATCAACAGTGTGTATTGCATTTAAATGATACTTCAGACTTGAAGTACTGCGGTGATAAGAAAATTCAACTTTGCAGTGGCTACAAATGACTTTGGTTCTATCAACTCCGCCATGCGGAAGAGATTTAAATTGAAAATGTCCACATAAGAGTCCTTTACCTTTCTCCATTTTTGTGTCCCCGCCAGTTCTATTCAGTTCCAGTTCACATGAGCACTGCAGCAGTGTTATGCCCACCCCAAATGCTCTTATTGGTTGAGACACGTGGTGACGCCCATCTCAAGCCAGTACTGATCAACATCCCACCCCTCCTGTGACCCATGGTTTGTCTGTATGTGTATTCAGAGCCAGTGAGCAACGGACTTTCAAAATAATAATAATAAAAATAAAATGCGTTAATGCGCGATAAAATAATTGTCGGCGTTAATGAAGTATTCCGTTAACGCGAAAATAACGAGTTACCTTGCCCAGCCCTAACATATACAGTGAGGAACAGAAGTATTTGCCGGTTGGTTGGCCATTACCAGTTTGTCAGTTTGTATCTGGAAGTCCCACAGGATCTTAGCTTGGTCATTCTCAACCACCTTTGGAGGTGTATCCCATTTTGATTTTGGGACTTCCAGCCTGTACTCGCCACAGATGTTTTTGTACACTATGCCAGCCACTTGGTTATGGTGTTCCATGTATGCCCTGCCTGGTAGCATCTTGCACCCCGCTGTTATGTGTTGGATTGTCTTGGATTGTCTTTGCACAACCTGCACCTGGGGTCCTCTCTGGTATGGTAGACCCCTGCCTCTATTGAACTTGTACTTAGAGCCTGTTCCTGTGCTGCCAGGATTAGTGCCTCTGTGCTGTCTTTCAGTCCAGCTTTGTCCAGCCACTGGTAGGGTTTTTCGATATCAGCCACATCTTCTATTTGACGGTGGTACATACCATGCAGGGGTTTGTTCTTCCATGAGGGTTCCTGCTCTTCCTTCTCTCTGGTTCCTCTGGTTTCTGCTACCTGAGGTGTTCACTAAGCATGTCATCACTTGGGGCCACCTTCCTGATGTATTCATGGATCTTTGTGGTTTCATCCTGGATAGTGTCTCTGACACTCATTAATCCTCAGCCTCCTTCCTTCTGCTTAGTGTACAGTCTCAGGATGCAGGACTTGGGGTGAAACCCACCGTGCATTGTAAGGAGCTTCCTTGTCTTCCCTCTCCTTGTTAGCATTCAACCACACTTATCCAGTCCGAATGACATTCCGATGTCCTGGCTGTAGATCCTAGTGGTGTGGATCAGTGAGTCGATGTCTCGTTCACTCCTAGCATACAGCTTGATGTCATCCATGTAGAGGAGGTGGCTGATGGTTGCTCCATTCTGTAGTTGGTATCCGTAACCGCTTTTGGTGATGATCTGGCTGAGCGAGTTAAGGCCTATACAGAACAGCAGCGGGGACAGAACATCTCCTTGGTAGATACCGCACTTGATGTTGACTTGTGCAATTGGCTTGAAGTTGGCCTCTAGGGTTGTTTTCC